GGGAGGGGGTAACAAGACAATGATGGCGTATTAGGCCTCCTATACACCACCTTGCAGAGCGAAAGAGACGGCCGCTTTAATTGCAAGGTATGCATCTATTACTTTTCATGGCACTTTAGCCGGCGCGGCGCGTTGGGTTCGCCCCGCCCCGCCCCGCCACGCCCCGCCACGCCAAGTTGCGCACGTGTAACATGAATCACATGTACGCCCTCAAGGAGCCCCCCAACTTTTCAGAGCGGAAAATGTGGAACCGGCACAAGTCTTGTGCGCGGTGTGGCGCGCGGTGTGGCACACGGTGTAGTGGCGAGCAGGACGCGTTGCGCGTTGTTGCCCTTATCGTGCAGTGGCGGCATCCTGCCGAGCCGCGCACCTATCGCCATGGCAACCAAGTCTCGCGATAGGCCGCCAGTTTTTCAAAAACCGGTGTACGCCTTCTTGAATGCAGCAAGTGCTGCAGTGTGCCGGGAGCAGCTCAAGAACCGCGGCGCGGAGGCTCGCTGGAGGCGAGGTTCCCGTCTTCGAGGTTCCCGTCTTCGAGGTCCCCGTCGGCGACATGCGCGCCCCCCGCGGGCTGTTTGTTCTTCCCCGCGTGAGTGGCGTCGCGACGCCGCGCCGAAGGGGTCACGCGGCGGTCCGAAATGAAGAGCCTTCGCCTCGGAAACGCACACAACAATGTGGACCGGGCCGAACAATGGTCGCGGCTACGGGAGGGGATGCACCGGCAGCGCAGCATCTTTTTAACCGAAATGATTATCAGTGGGGGGCCGAGGCTTGGAGGCCGGGGGCAGCCGGGGGCCCTGTCGGGGGGCAGGGAGGGCGTCCCATCCCGTCCCGCGTCCCGGGCTCGGCGTCGTAGAGACGCTGGCGGCCGCCGGGTCGGCCCCGCTGCAGCCAGGCTGCGCTGGTGCTGGCGCGGCCCTGGGCCTCCAGGAGGGCGCCGCACGATGTGGCAACGCCGCGTGAGCCCGAGCGGCCAGAGCGGCCAGAGCACAGCCGTGCTGCCGGCGCGGCTCGGCGGCTCGGCGCGGCACAGCCGGGCACAGCACCACGGCGGAGCATGGCGGAGCATGGCGTAGCACCAGAGCGGCAACATTGCGTCATGCCGCGCCCCGCCACAGCAGCAACCGGCTGCACCTGCACCGCCGTGCCGTGCCGCGCCACGCCGCGCCACGCCGTGCCACGACGGGCACGCCCGTAATCAAGAGGACTATCTGACGGCCCCGCTGGGGTGCAATGCGTCTATGGCTGCACCGTGGAGGCGCCGCGCGCCGCCATCAAGTCCATGGAGTTGGCCCGCGGAGAGACATTTGGCCGTGCATCGCAGTGCATCGGCCTTGCCCCCCCCCCCCTCCCCTCGCCTCCCCTCGCCATGCCGCCAGCACCATGCCGGCAGCAAGTACCCGCCTCTTGGCAGCCCTGGCAGCCCGGCGGAATCCATGATGTCCAAAAGCATCGAGACCGGCCCGCCAAAGCCTCTGCGACCCCAACTGATGCAAACTACATTCAACAACTCCTGCTCGGGTTCGAATCCCCGCGTCGGCCAGCAGTTTTCGCGGACGCGAAACACGCCAAACACAAAAACGGAGACCGACCAGTCCGCAATGCACCCCGCTGCTGGCGCTGCTGCAGGCTGGTTGCGAGGCGGGGTTCACGTCGACGAGTCTCGCTCGCAACCGCCGGGGACGCCCCACGAGTGCGAGAGAGACAGAAGGCTGGCGCGTCCCTCGTTCATTAGAGCGCTGGAGCCCTGCTGCTGGGGCATGCTGGGGCATGCTGGGGCAGGGCCGCAGGGTGCCGCAGGGGCTGGCGGCTCCAGGGGAGCGCGGCCGGCAGCCCCAGCACGGCCAGCACAGCCAGCACAGCCAGCCAACCCCTTTCCATTCTCATTCCCAGTTTCCAGCTTCCAGTGGGCACGGCTGCGGCTGTGCGTGCTTCGGGGGTGGCGCGGCCAGGCCGTGCGGGCGCCTCGCCGGGTAGGCAAGGGGTGGCGGGGCCCGTCCGTAAGGCACCAGAACGCCAAGGCGCGTCCGGGCGTTCCCGCGGGGTTGGAGTTTGGAGGCTGCGCCGCCGACGCGGTGGTTCGTACTGCCGCACCGCCACCGCCCCGCCCCGCCTCCGTTTAAAATAAGCGGATAAGCGCCGCGGGAAACAACTTCCGACGGCGGATATCAGTATGCACGGGGTGCCGGGCCGCCCCCGCGCCGCCCCCGCCACGCACACGGCCTGGCCGGCTCCCCCGGCCGCCAGTCCGCCCCCTTCCGACGGACCGACCGACCTCCCCGTCGGCCGCGCACACTTGCAAACGAGCGGGACAGAGACGGAGCGACGCGCGAAGTGCGGGGCGGGGCGTGGCGGGGCGGAAGCGGGAGTAACGAGACAGGTGCACGTGTATTTCCGTTTCTCCCGGATAGAGGATGAAATATTCACCGGGCGGCGCGCGGGAGGCACGTAGAGGAACGGCGGTGGAAAGGCAGGGAGGGGCGGCCAGCGCGGCCAAGGGGAGGCCCTGCCCGGCCCTGCCCGGCCGACGCGGGGAATTAAAAATGAGCCGTCCGCCGTTCGCGACCCGGCACCGCCAAAGCCGCCAAGGCGCGCGAAGACGGCGAAGTCGCGGAGCGGCCAGCGAGCCTCGCGGCTTCCCTCATGGATTCCCTGATGGCTGCGCCGCGCTGCCGCGCGTCACCTTGACGCCGTCCGACACAACATCTGTCATGAGTTGCACTCGTGGTTCAGCTGCAACAACAAGTCGTGGCCGTCGTGGTGGCCGTCGTGGTGGCCGCCGTTGCGCCGCCCGTGGCTGCAGGCCTTCCGTCTCTCTCGCACCGCTGCGCAAGGCCGCCCGAGTGCGAGAGAGACAGCGCGACGAGCGTGCCGTGCCGGCGCGCCCATTGTCGAAGTCTGGCCGTGAGACACCTATCGGCGGACAAATATTCAGCAGCGTTCCGAACCGCGCTTTCCACGCTCCGTCCCTGTCGCACGCGTGCGCCGTGGCGACGGGGTGCGAGGGAGACAGCTGCCCGGCTACGCACCCGCCAGCCGAATTAGCCGCGGCAGTACGTCGGCCATTTGAATTTGCCGCCGCTCGTTCGTTCGGCCCTTTATAATTAGTCTAGCCGAGCGGCGCGCGGCGCGGCCAGTTCGGCCCGGCGGGTTCCGCGCCGCCAACCCGAACAGAGTCTAATCCACTAACTGAAAATTCTAAATTCGCTGTTTGCCCTCTCCCACTTTAATTACCGGCCAGTCCCCGGGGAGCAGCGGCCCGCTGGAGGGGATTGGGGGGGGGGGAGGCTACCGCTCGACCTGCTGCAGGGAAGGGGCCCGACAAGCGGCGTGCGTGCGTGCGTGTGCGTGGAGAGCGTGTCTGCCCCAAACGCGTTTCAAACGGAACTGTCAAGCTGGAGACGGGGCGGGCAGGGCGGGCAGGGCGGCAGGACGGGTCTTGGGGGAGCCGGTGGCTCCGCAGCGCCGCCGTCGTGGTGGTGCTCCCTACCGTCGGGGCCAAGGCACGGCCATGGCACGGCCATGGCACCGCGGGGCGCTCCGGGTCGGGCCCTGGTCGGGCCGCCAGTGGACTGCTTGCGAACAGTGTGCCTGTCGCTGTCTATCTCGCACCGCGACGGACCCTCGCGCGAGTGCGAGAGAGACAGAGCGACGACCAGGTACGACCAGGGCACGGCCCGCGTTCCTCTCGCGAACTGAATTCGAATCACGCGAGGAAATGGCTGTGTTCTTTTAATCCCCGGGCCGCCCCTGCCGGCCTCCAAGTTGGAGCAGTCGGCGTGCTCGCTTTATCCACGACTTCTTTGGCGTTTCGTTCAAAGTAGCCCAATTTTCGGTCCCTTCCGAATCACCCCCTCCCCTCTCCGCCAGCTTTCGCGCCCCGTTTGCTGGAAAAGGCTGGAGGGAGGCCGCGCGGGCCTCTGCAGCTGGATTTCGAACAGGCGGCGCTTTCGTCGCTCTGTCTCTCTCGCACCTCTACGAAACGCCCTAAGGGTGCGAGAGACAGAGCGACGAAAGGACTGTTCGGCGGCTGCGGGGAAATTTGTATCCACGCCCGCGTGTGTGTGTGTGTGTGTGTGTGTGAGGCGGAGGGCTGCAGGGCTCTCTGTGCCCTTCCACTGGAGAATTCTAGTCCTGCCCCCTCTTCCCCTACAAAAGGAGAAACCAGGGCGGAAAAAAAGAGTGTTACCCATGTCAGAAAAGAAAACAAGTAAAAGGAAAAAGAAAGGAAAAAAGAGCTCTAAGGGAAAAGGCACAGTCATGAACGAAAGAAAACAAGGGCCAAGAGAGCTGGGAGAAGGGGAGAGGGGACGAGGGGGGGGGGGCACCAGCGGGTCGGGCTTGGAATTCTGGCAGCGGGGTCCAAAAAGACTTAGACTTTTTTTTAAAGTTACGCTGGCCGGTCACATTTTATATGGGATCTTTGTTCCGAGAAGTTGGAGACTCCGGCGGGGCTGCCTGGCCGCCCGGCCCATGTGCAGGCAAGCCGTCAGAACAGGCACAAAGACCCTGCCCTGCAGGCACATAGAAACCCCACGGACCCGAGAGGGGAAGGGGGTGGGGGTGACGAACACAGGATGTGTGGAGAAGCCCTCGGCCCACCCCCGCCTGCAAAGCTCCACGCAGTTGGTGAAAAGACGCAGATACCTGCAGCATTCAGCGACATGACAGCCCCCAGCATGTGTACACTGGCAAAAAAAATAATGTGAGAAGTCTGGAATGTGTGCCTTGGCAAAAAGGTCTCGGGCATAATCAGAACCATGTGTGTTGACCTCAGTGTGTCTCTTCATCTTCAAGTCCCACTTTTGATCCTTTTTTTCGAGATCCTATTTTACAGTCCAGGGCTCTAGAGCATAATTGACATGGTGTACATACTTCTTTTATATTTCAGTTGTCATTGGTTGAGTTGTACAATCTCTCATTTAATTGTTTCTTTTTCCTCTAATTTTTTTCTTTCTTTCTTTGTGGAAATAAGGAATGTCAAGTAACAACAAGTCAAATAAATTATCTTAAATTTGTTTACTATAATTAAAAAAATGAACAATGAGATGGCAGGCGTAGTAACATCTACCACAACAGCATAACTCACCGAATCTTGGTGACTCATATTTACAAAAATCAATTTAATCGTTAACATAATCAACATCTTCCTCTTTACATTCATACAATATCACACAATCAGAACACACATCCACAGCACACCAACATACGTCAGTCTCTCGATACGTATATAAGCACTTTTCGTTTACACAGTCACAAAAAATTTGAGACAAGAAAACTCGTTGATCCCTCATATATGAAAAAGACATAACAGAAAAAAGACATTCAAATTACAACAAATTTCTCACATGGCAAAAAGACACTGTAAAAAAAAATCGAACATTAACAAAATGGAGAAAACATATGACATGAAATTGGTCAGATAACGGTAACGGTAACAATGAGAAGTAAAACACAGTTCATTAACACGTGCTATGCGGGCAAACGCTCAAAGTGGACAGCAAAGATGCAGAAAGTTTTAAAAGAAATCTCTGCGAGCCGAGTCGGGCGTCGCCACGGAGTCGGTTTGGTTCGGCGGCTGCGCCCAAGGCTCCGCGGCGCCCCAGAGTGCGATTGAGGTAACACTTCCACCGCGACTGCCACGAAGCGACGCGCTAAAAGTCGAAAAGGCACGACGAATTTCGTCACCGCCACTAATTGCGGCAAGCAAGCCGGGCAAGCCAAGCCGGGCTGGCAAACCGCAAAACACAAACCCCGGCCGGGACAAAAATGAAATGGGAGCGTTGCGCTATCGCCGTGCCGTGCCGAGCCGCGCCGTGCAACTTCGCCGTTTCAAAACTCGGCGCGTTCGCCCGCGCGGATAGGAGTACAGTACTAGGACGTTCCAGAGGGAAAAATGGGTATTTTAAAATTCCCAGGCTGCCGGTTGGGTTGTCGCCCGAAGTCGGCCTGCTCCCCTCGAAGAGAGCCGTCAAGCTGGATAAACCGTTACCGCTGCGCACCCTGCGACTCAAGCACAGTCCCCTCCCGAAAACACATTTCGCGCAGCAAGATTTACTCAGGCTGTTTTCCAGGACGCTGCTCGGAGTTTTTGAGGAGAGTGTACGGCGGCGCCCCCCGCGAGGCCCGCGACGCGCCACACCCCGCCACACCCCCACCCCGCCCCTAAAAGCATCCCGCAGTCCCGAGGCACCACGTTGAATATTCAAGGGCCCAATGCGCTTATCTCATCTGATAACAACGCTATCTCAAAAAGGCCCACTGGGCCCTGTGCCCTACAAGTGCGCAGCGTGGCGTGGCGTGGCGCGGCGCGGCGCGCCCACACACACGGGCAAAACAAAGAAGTGAATACGACTCGGCGCCCGGATCGGCCGGGCCGGCACGGACGTGGACGACGTGGACAGGCTTTACATTGTAACCTACATACTCTAGACCACCCGCGAATCACAAAACAACGCCAAACGGCAACAAAGGAGTGAGTGTGCTGCCCGTTCGGCGGACACGATTATACACAAATAACAAGCTGCTAAGAATGCCGGCAGGAATTCACAGTGATAGCGAGGAGACAGCACCACTGCAGGCAGAGGTTGGCTGCAGTGACAAATTCGAATTCTCGACGCCGTTTGAAGGGCAGCGGGACTGCATCGTGAGCAAACTGGGTAACGTCTGATAAGACATGCATGTGGATGGCATTACTTAAAGTGTGAATCTCGAGATAAAACGGCAATCGATTACTGCAATCGAAACGAGCCCACACCATACTGGCTCGTAAAAACCTCGGCTACACATATAATTAAATTTCATAATTAACTACATTATCACAGTGATAATGACACCAGCGGTGCTGGCGCGAACAAGCATCATGGCTAGTACGTGCATGTTGACCTAACACCTATATCACAAACGATTAAACAATCCTTTCGCGGGACATGCACTCCCCATGAAAAGCAAAGGTAAATTAGTCTGAGGAACGAGGTAGACAGTACCACAGCCCACAGAGAGCATTTTCCAGACTGTAAGTAATGCCAACCACACTATTTGAGCCGGCTTGGAACTCATCCCACCCACCTCTCGTACGCACGCATATACACACACACACAATCACACATTCTCTCACACACAATCAATTTGTTGCTAATAATCGATATATCATTGTAATTAACTGCTCCTGGTTCACTAAATGCGTCTAACTATAGTTCTATATAAATTATCACAATGGAGTAGGGCGACGACGGCCCGAGGGAATTCCACCACACTTCAGTTCACTTCCGGCCTCACCACACCGCACAACACAACACGGCGCGGATTCGAACCCGCGACCCTCCGCTGCGGCAGCGACGACGGTATCCGACGCGCTGCCAGAGCCGAGAGGCGCGAAGGCGCGAAACGGCCTGGGCCCGAGGAGGGGCACGGCCGTCACCGCACGGCGACGTGGCCGAGGCCCAGGTTGATGGTGGCCAGGTTGGGCATCTTCATGAGGCTCTCCATGGCGCCGCGGGAGATGCCGGTGCAGCCGTACAGGTCGATGTACTTGAGGTTGCTGCAGGTCTCGGCCACCGTCTGCAGCCCCGCGTCCGTCACGTGGCGGCACTGGCCGATGTTGAGCGTGTCCAGGTCGGCCAGCTCGCGCGCGATGCGCTTGATGCCCTCGTCGGTGACGGGGCACGCGGATAGCGACAGCGAGCGCAGGCCGTACAGAGCCTGCGAGATGTGCTGCAGCGCGGCGTCCGTGATCTTGTCGCAGAACGAGACGTCGAGCTGGTGCAGCTTGGCGCCGCCCTCGGCCAGGTACGACACGCCCACGTCGGTGATGTTGTCGCAGGCGCGCAGGTTGACGGCCTCCAGCTGCGGCATGCGCGCCAGGTGGCGCAGCCCCGCGTCGCAGATGCCCACGCAGAAGCTGAGGTTGACGCTGCGCAGCTTCTTCATGCCCTGCGCCATGTGGCGCAGCGCGTCGTCCGACAGCCGCTGGCAGTCCTGCAGGCCCAGGTACTCCAGCTCCAGGTTGCCCTCGGCCGTCTCCGGGTTGAGGCCGGACAGGTGGCCGATGCCCTGGTCCGAGATGAGCCAGCACGACCGCAGGTCCAGGCGCCGCAGCCGCTTCAGCCCCCACGCCACCAGCAGCAGCCCCGTGTTCGTGATGTTGGAGCAGCCCTCCAGCCGCAGCACCTCCAGGTTCTTGACGTGCTGCGCGATGCGGCCCACCGCCGTGTCCGTCAGCTGCTTGCACAGCGACAGGTTGAGCTCCGTGAGCGACGGCAGGTCCGTGACGAAGGCGTGCGACAGCCCCTGGTCCGTCACGTTGTAGATGCCGCTCAGGTTGAGGGAGGTGAGGGCGGGCACGCCGATGACCACGTCGCGCAGGGACTTCTTGAGGGACAGCACCTGCACCTTGCGGATGCCGCGGCACTCGAGGCTCTGGAACAGGGACGGGTTGGTGCGCCGCAGGTGCATCTTGGCCTCCACGCCGCGCCACACCGACTTCTGGTACGCCGCGTCGCGCCACGACGTGCACACCTGAGCCGCGCGGCCCTTGCCGGCCACGTCCAGGTAGCTGAAGATGAGCGCCAGGATCTCCGGGTACAGGCACGTGACGTGCGTCTGCTCGTCGGCCTCCTCCTCCACCTGCTGCTGCGCCTGGGCCTGCTGCCGGAGCAGCTGGTGGTGCGCCTGGTGGTGGTGGTGCTGCTGCTGCAGCAGCTGCTGGATGTGCAGGCTGTGCTGCTGCTGCAGCGCGTGGTGGTGGTACGCGTCCAGGCGCAGCTCGCGCAGCTCCAGCCCCAGCTGCGGCTGCGGCGAGTGCACGCGCTGCACGTGCTGCAGGTGCGGCTGGTGCAGGCGGTGCAGGTGGTAGGGCTGCGGCCGGTGGTAGTCCGACTTGGACGTCCGGATGGTCGTCATGGCCGTGGTCATGGCTGCCACGGGCAGCTCGGTGTAGATGAAGCGGTCCTCCATGGCGACAAGGCGGCGCGGACACTCACTGATGCACTCACTCACACTGGCACACGCACGCGCACACACACGAACGACTATATCGAGTTCGACGCCATCGTCACCGCGGCGGTTCGCTCCGTTCTGAGGTCGCAGTGCTGCTCGTTCTGGTGCTCGCACACGACTGTGGCGGCGGCGGCGGCGGCGCGGGGCGCGCGCGGCGCGGGCGGCGCGGCGGCCTGCGCGCTGACGATACTCCCCCTCCCCCACGCGGTCGCCGCGGCGGAGTTCGCCCGGCGTCCGCCGCAGCGCCAGCGTGCGAGGGAAGGCCGCGTGGAGTAGCGCTGGCGGCGTGGAGTATCGCCGAGGAATACCCCCTGTGTGCGACTCGGGCGACCCTGTCGTCCGTTACAACGGCTTGCTGGACGACAGGCAGTGCCCCCAGGGGTACCTGCTGCACACGGTACTTGGCAGTGCCCTCTGCACGGTGGAAGTGAGTGGATCTTACTGGGTTCAAATATCGAAAGAACAACCGTGTTGGGTAAGCAAGTTTATTCTTTCAGTCGCTGTGATTTTGCTCTGCGAGCCTGATGCAGGCACAAAGCCATCCACTCCATCTTAAAGCTGTTCGTCAGCGCGTTCACCGGGCCACAACATTGTCTCCGCTTCCTCTCAGAATTCGAGGAATGCAGTGGGAAATCACCGTCAAGATTCACGTCTCCCTTTCACAGTGCAGGGGGTTCACCCGGTGAACGGGCGGCGCTGGCGGGCGGCCGGTGAGGGCGGTGCGGGCGGCGCCAGGTACTGCCTGGGGTGCTCGCTGTAGTCGGCCGGCCCGCCCAGCTTGTCGACGAGGTGCTGGCCGCGCGGGCCGTGCGTCGCCTCGAACTCGGCGCGCAGGCGGTGCCCGTCGTCGGGACGGAACGGGTAGGGCGTCTCGGCGCGCTGGCTGGCCAGGCTGGGCACGGTGCGGCGCAGCGACCGCAGCGCCTGGCCGAGGCGAAGCAGCCCGTCCGGCACCACGAGCGGCATCGGGGAGCCTAGCAGCGAGCAGAACAGCGCCATGCGCCACAGCAGCCACAGCCACCGCGTCAGCTGCAACAGAATCCATCAACTTCGTCTGTCTGTGCCCGTGTGTGTGACCTGTGAGGGCGATTGTCTGGTTGCTTTGGTTGCTAGTCCACGGCGCAGTGGCCGTGGGCGTGCTCCCCGTGCTCCCGATGGCCGGCCCCGCCCTGGCCCAGCTCGGTTCGCGGGAATACCGCGGCCGTTGCGCCTCGACCTTATCGCGCTGGCTAGCCGGGCTAACCTCGGCCAGCCGGGGCAGCGACTCCGTATGCCGAGTGTCAGTGTGGCTCAGACGGAATTCTCGCAAACCCAAGGAACACAAAACACTCACGAAGCATTCTAAGGATGTCAACAGGACGTCTAGATGACGCTGTTTGCGTCGAAATTTTGACTAAAATTAATCAAATTGACGTCAAATGATGTCACGGTGTGAGCGTTCTGTGTTCGTTGGAAAGAGCAGACGCTCTGCATGGCGGCGCATTGACAACCACGCGACGCAGACAGGCGCCCCGACAGGCGCTCAGAGGTGTCTGGGTGTCGGTAGAGGGCACACAAGGCGGCCTTATCTTTGTTTAATATGCCCTAGAAAAACCGGGTTACAAAAGATGCCGCACAGTCTGATTTTGGTTTGGAAATGGCGCGGTCGTTTTCAGATCATAACAACTCTAAACCTGCACAGCTATGTTAAATAATAAATGCCGTCTGGAAAACGTGAAGAAAACCTGAGACATTTTTTTTAACCCCTTTTGCACACCTACCGTGTCCAGCTCGGTCAGCGCGGTGCGTCGCTGCGTGCGGGGCTGCGTGGCCTGCATGGCGAGGTGGCGCCGGCCTGGGAAACAGAACGAGAAGACGATGATAATTACTCGCGGAAAACACGCCAAGAGGACGGCCAGGGAAGTCCAAGCGCCGTCGGTGGAAATGGATGAGAGAGGCTTCCGTGAGTCACAGAACGGTGTTCCGATATTCCGTTCGGATTACACCGCGAGCGGGGGGAAAGGGGGGGGGGGGGAGGGTCGCCCGCGGCACGCCGAGCAACCCCGCGTAAACTACTTGCGGGTAGTACTCCACGACCAGCCTCAAATCGGCCTTGACCGCCCTGGCGGCGATCTGGTTCCACTTCTTACAGTGTATTAACGCCACACGCCACAACCACACAGACGCGGAAAACAGATTTTGGCCGAGTTCGCGGGGCGGTCAGTCACCCCCGCATCCAGAACGGCAGCTATGGTAATGGCGAAATTCGCGCCAAAATTTACTTGGGCTGTTTTCAGCAGATGATGCCTTCACCACTTCAAAACACGCCTAGAACAATACAAGACACTTAAAGGTGTCAGCTACCTTTAAAAAAAAAAAAAAAAGTCAGCGGGTTTCAACTAACCTTCACCTATACGCAAAGTGTTGACCAGTAGCCAGGAAGAGAAGCTGTTTGCTGTATCAGTTGTATCAGCTTCGCAGCGAGGCGACCCCCTGGCTCGCTCTGTGCCCCGAGGGTGAGCGACTTCGACCTAAAATCGGCTCATCTGAATCTGATGAGAGTGTTGGCGCTCGCTTTAGGGGCAGTTCCCGTGGGAGCAGCTTCTGCTGGAACTCCTATCTGCGCCGTGTGCCACCGATAGTCAGCCATAAGAAGCACACAAGCAGTCTGGCGGTCGCCGAATCAAAGTTCTAAGAAAACAAACACTTTATCACCACTTTGGTTAAAAGCTCAAAATCGACAAGGAATGATCCATGCGCTCTTTTATCATTTTCCGCGCTTTTAGTGCTTCATGAGTGCTTTTGGTGTGCGGCACTTTTATCGGCCCCGGTGCGGCAACAATACACTGCATGGTGTGCTTCACTGCCTTCTTCAAGGGGCCCAAAATCATCGCCCGACATTTCGAGTGTACTAGTTGTGTCTGCTTCTGGCTCTAGGTGTCGTGGAAACGATAACAGCTCCGCGACGACGGCGTCGCGACGCTCCGCCTGGGACTCACCTCGTCGTTCCGCGTGGACGCCGCGCTGTTTTGGCGGCGCGCTGCAGCAGGTGGGGCCGGTGTGGCGGGGCGGGGCGGGGAGGGGTGGGGCGGGGCGCGACCGTTCGCGGTCGGAGCGGTGGACTGGGGGACCGAAGGGGACCGGCGACTCGGACAGCTGGACGCGGTTTGCGGCGTGGAGAACTTTGGCGGTGCCGTCCGGGCCTTCCGTCTGTCCGCGGGGCTCTTCGGGGCTCTGCGGGGCTCTGCGGGGCGGCCCCTTCCTCGCAGCCATCCCCCCTGCACCCTCCACCCGTCCGATCAGCCCACCGATCTGCCGCTTCGGAAAATCTCGTCAAAATTGGAGAACAATGAAACGAAGCTTTAGGGCGGTGGTGGTGAATACGCGAGGGCTGCCTCCGCGATGTGGCCCTGGTTGGAGCGCAGGGCGGCGGGCTCGCCCAGGGTGGCCTTGGGGCGGAAAAGCGACGGTGGGTGAGCGAAGTGGGGCACTCGTTGGCCCGGAAGAACGCGGGGGGAAAGACCGGCGGAAGGGAGGCAGGGCGACGCGGTTTTATTTTAGCAGATGACACAATGCGACGTGGGCCGGGCGGGCATCCCTTATCAGCGAAATCCGGCAAGGCCCCTGAAAATCGCAAGCCCACTGTAAAAAACGCAAGGGCTGTGTAAAATTCAGAGTGACAACAGTGCCCCGCCGTCTTCCCGTGCATTTTGTCACAATTCTGAAACTAGAAGCATGACAAAAGTCGACCGACAGAAGCGGCCGGCGGCGCACCCGGTTGTGCTCACGCCACGCCACGGAGCTCACGGTTGTTGAAACAGAAGCGCGCCAAAAAAAGTTCCCGGAGCATTTCCCTTCACTGTTGCAATGCACGATCCTGGTGCGTGACGTTCGAGTGTCGCGCGTGTCGCGACTGTCACGCGTCTCGGTCACGCGTCGGTCACGCGTCGCGCAACGGACGCGCGACTCCGCCGGGCTCCGCCGGGCGACGCGCTCCAACGGCGGTGGCCGCGTGCCAGCCACACCTGGGCGGCGTAACTAGAGAATGGAGGTGCAACTCAGTGCAACGCAGAGCAACGGCCCGGCGGGAGGCACTCTGCAAAAACCCGAAAGGCTAGACCAGCGGTTCTCAACCTTTCTCGGCTCGCGACCCCAAATTTGTAGCCAAAAATTTCCGCGACCCCCAGGAAAAATTTCGCGACCCCACGGGACCCCTCCTTTAACATGCCACGGCGTCTGATCCGAGGCGGGCATTTTGCTCCCTCAACGGGCAGTTGGTCTTTGGACCTTCCTTTAGCATGCCTTTGTTACGGAGTGCAATTATCAGTCTTAGTTTGGGAGCAGTATTGTCTCAAAGTTGGCCAAAACGCTCAGAAATATCTGTGAAAAATCGTGTTTGGGGCCGATTTTAAGCAGCCACTGCGTCTGATCCGAGGCGGGCATTTTGCTCCCTCAACGGGCAGTTGGTCTTTGGACCTTCCTTTAGCATGCCTTTGTTACGGAGTGCATTATCAGTCTTAGTTTGGGAGCAGTATTGTCTCAAAGTTGGCCAAAACGCTCAGAAATGTCTATGAAAAATCGTGTTTTGGGCCGATTTTAAGCAGCCACTGCGTCTGATCCGAGGCGGGCATTTTGCTCCCTCAACGGGCAATTGGTCTTTGGACCTTCCTTTAGCATGCCTTTGTTACGGAGTGCGATTATCAGTCTTAGTTTGGGAGCAGTATTGTCTCAAAGTTGACCAAAATAGTCACAACGATTTTTCAAAGACACTTGCGACCGTTTTGATCGACTTTGAGACAATACTGCTCCAAACTAAGATGACAATCGCACTCCGTAACAAAGGCATGCTAAAGGAAGGTCCAAAGACCAATTGCCCGTTGAGGGAGCAAAATGCCCGCCTCGGATCAGACGCAGTGGCTGCTTAAAATCGGCCCAAAACACGATTTTTCATAGACATTTCTGAGCGTTTCGGCCAACTTTGAGACAATACTGCTCCCAAACTAAGACTGATAATTGCACTCCGTAACAAAGGCATGCTAAAGGAAGGTCCAAAGACCGATTGCCCGTTGAGGGAGCAAAATGCCCGCCTCGGATCAGACGCAGTGGCTGCTTAAAATCGGCCTAAAACACGACCACAGCATCGCCGCGACCCCTTAAAAAAATTTCGCGACCCCGCTTGGGGTCGCGACCCTAAGGTTGAGAACCACTGGCTAGACGCTACAGTCAGGGCTAGACGCTACAGTCAGGGCTAGACGCTACAGTCAGGGCTAGACGCCACCGCGGCGCTGCACGTGCCCTGAGCGTGCGCCTACTTCCCTTCCCTTCCCAGAAAGCGACAGAGTCTCTTCCCTCACAGAGAGCATCTTGATAGCGATATGACTGGCTGCTGCAGTACTCGCGCGGAGTCGGTCCGTGCAGCAGGCCGAGCAGGAGACGCCGTGGTTGCCTGGTGTTGCTTCGCGTGTCGTCGCGGTCGTCTCCGGCGACGAAAGGATGGCGCCCGCTGAGGGAGGCTACGGCTGGTGCATCGTGGGGGGCTACGTCGTGAACATGGTGCGAAGGGAGCGTGCAGTCGCGGACTGGGTGACTTCCAGCGGCGTCCCTCATCCATCACTTTCCCGTTGTGCCACAGGCCGCTGTCATCCAGCTGGTGCAGATGATGGGCTTGATCCTGAAGGACGTCTTCAGGGAGCTCGACTTCAGCGAGAGCCAGGGGGCGACCATCATGACCACGACGCAGGCCACCAGTATGACGCTAGGTAGCGTGCCTCTGGAGGGATGGCCGCGGTGATTTGATCTGAGGCCCTCGCTGACTCCTTGACGGCGTCCTCGGCGCCAGGCGTCCTGGCCGGCCCCCTCATTCGCAGGTTCGGCTTCCGCTGCGTAGCGGTCGCGGGCGCGCTGCTGGCAGTGTCGGGGCTGGCGCTCACCTCCACGGCCAGGACGTTCGCCGAGTTCATCGTCTACTTCAGCTTCATCATGGGTGAGAACGAGAACCAGCCGGCAAGGCTGGCGATACTCCGCGCGCGCCGCGGCGGCGCGCGGGGTATTGACACCGCCTGCCTGTTGCAGGCTTCGGCCTCAGCCTCAGCTACCCGTCGTACATCGTGGCCCTCAACGTGTACTTCAAGGCGCGCCGCACGCTAGCCACGGCCGTCGCCCTGTCCTTGACGGGGGCCTTGGCCATCCTCACGCCGCAGCTGATCCGGGCCGCGTCCTGGCAGTTCGGCCCCCGCGCCGCCATCCTGGTCCTGGCCGGCGTGTCCCTGCACTCGCTCGTCGGCGCCGTGCTGCTGAGGCCACTGGCCCCCGCGCAAGGTATGCACTGCCGCCGCCGTCGAGGCAAATGACAGCATGGCACCGACTCCGACGAATTTTCACTGCAGCTGAATGCTCTGCAGCACAGATAAAATCAGCTCCCGCTCAGGAGATGGCCATCAAGGAGAGGAAGGACGATGCTGAGGCCGCGGCCCCGATGCTGCAGGACACTGAGAAGTCTCAGGTGCGTCACCTTGCCCACTTTGATTATAGAGCACGGTTCGCAATACTCACGCCCCAACTCAACTGACAGCCCGGGGAAGCCAAGAAAAGCACGTTCCTGGACACCGTCTCGGGGTTCTTCGTGACGCTGTTCGACCTGGGGCTGGTGCGGGACCCCGCCCTGGTGCTACTGCTGCTTGGCACGTCCCTCGGCCTCTTCACCGACATCAACCTGGTGCAGTTCCTGCCTTTCATGTTGCGGGACTTCACCACGGCCGAGGCCTCCGTGTTCATGTCGGTGTTCTGCGTCACGGACACGGCGTGCCGTCTGGTCGCCCCGGCGCTGCACCGCCTCGTGGGCCGTCCCAGCCGCGTCATGTACATGGCCACGCTGGTGGTCTTCATGGCCACCCGGACGGGTAAGTCGGCCTTCCTGCGTCGATACCCCGCGCGCCGAGCCAACGCCCGCAGGGCAGGCAGCCCAACCGACGTGTCCGTTGGGCTGCCCACCCCGCAGGCGGTCCCACAGCACCGTGTCTGCCGCAGCCCTGCTCCTGTGCCGCTCGTACGAGGCCGTGATGGTGGCCATGGTGCTGATCGGTGCCAGCCGCGGCATCAACGTCGTGTTCCTGCAGGTGCTCATCCCGGACAACGTGCCCATCCAGAAGCTGCCCGCCGTGCAGGGGCTGTACCTACTGGTGTGCGGCATCGTATTCACCTCGGCCGGGCCCGTCATAGGTCAGAACGCGTCGCCGGGTTGCAGCACCCCTCCTGAAGCGCGCCAATTTCACTTTCCGGTTGCGGTTCTTGTGCTGCAGGGTGGCTGCTGGGCAGGACGGGGGACTACAACGTCATCCTCCTCGTGCTGGTGGCCATGAACGGCCTGACGCTGGTCATGTGGACGGCGGAGTACGCGGCGAGGACGCTGTGGGGCACCAGCAGTCCGGCCGCAGCCGCGCCCTGACCGCCAGCGGACACCGAAGTCCCCCCCGACGCCGTCCCCGCCACAGCCATGCCATTGATCTCTGTTCATCCATCAGTCACAAACGAGTCTATAAAAACAAGAAGCCGACCGGTGCGCTCACCGCATTGTTATTCCAAGCTTCCCCGAAAATCGCACGACTTTTCGAAACAATGGATCCTTACGGGCGACCCCTATCAAACGTATAGGCCCAGGCCGGGCGGCCCGGCGAGGCCGCTACGCGTGTCGCGTTTGCGCGCCGAGTTCCCGAGGGAGGGGACGGACGGGGGGAGGGGCAAGGGGACGCGGACGCGAAGCGCCGACAAATTAAAATGTTTCGCTTCATTTGTTGCTCACTGAAGGAACACAAGGCGACCGATCGGCGGCTGCCCGTGTCTTTCCAACGTTTTTCTGTGTGTTTTTCGCTGTTGGGAGAAAGGGGGAAGCGACGCGGGAGCGAGCAGTGTGCCGTCGAGTAGGCGACCCGTCGAGCCCTCAGCGTTCGAAACACCTCACTAAGGCACCTCGTGGGCCCCTGAACCCCGATAGGCTAGGTTTGGACACGACGACCCCACTGCCGCCGGCGCCGGCTACCTCCACCTCCAGTGTCATGACCGACCCGAACGCGACAAATTAAAATTCCATCGTCCTTTTCCGAAACACCGCCCCACTAATGAATCGCTTTCCGGCCCATTCCGAGACGAGACGAGAGCCATCCGAGGAGTATTTCCCAGGACGTTCGGCCCGCCGCCACCATCGGCCGCCATCGGCCGCCATCGGCCCAACGGAACCGTCGCCAGTCGCCGTCAACTTTCCCTCGAGTCATCAGTCGCTTCTGTCCAATTTTATCGCCGCGTTTCTTGTCGAAGCGTCAACGCGCCGAGCAGAAGCTCGTGTCGGACAAGCGCGCCAATCCGCAACGGCCAAACTCACGGACCTCACACGGTGGCGAAGCACCGGCCTCACAGAGGTTGGTTGAACGCGAATAAGTATCGGAAAGTTGACGAATTTGCTGACTTTGGGCGGCCATTGCGTCCAATTTACCGACCAAGACCCCACTCTTTCATGTTCCGCCTCGGGAACGCCTTAACCGCACTTTGTTTGGAGCGGCGGCCTCGCAAAGTTGTCGAAAGGCGGATGTTCCCAGCGTTCCTTGGGGGTGCGAGTGAGACAAGACGACTGTTGGGAACGAGCCTGCTGCCGATACCGTGCCGGATCGTTATTCGCACTCGCGCCGTCTTTCCCGGTCTTTCCGGGCGCGGGCGGCGCGGGCGGCGCAGGTGTGAGTTACGAGCGCGGCCGCGGGGGGCGCCACCACCGTGCACGCCGTGCAGCGCCGCCACCCGTCCCGTTCGCGCGCGTTTCCGAACTAACGATCATTTCATGACAGTCGTTACTCACAGAAGGAGTTGAACCGAGAGGCCGCCCCCGGGCCGTCGGTGTGAGCGTCAGGTCGCCGTCGGCGCTTCCTCCTCCTCCTCCTCCTCCTCCTCCTCTTCCTCCTCCGGGAGGTCCGCGACGAGAGGCTGCGCTCTGTCTCCCTCGCACACTCACGGTGGCGTTCCGCACGGATGCGAGAGAGACAGAGCGACGAAGCCCTGTGCGCATTTGCGATACTCAATTATTCCGTTTAGGGCAACAATCATCAGTGCCGGGCTAGTCGGTTTCGCAAACACGTCGGAGTCGCTTTGATTTCCTGGCGGGGCGGGGGCAGGGGCGGGGGCAGTACATGTGGCGATGTGTGGAGGCGCACTGGAGGCGGACTGGAGGCGCCACTGGAGCCTGCCTCTCTCGCTCTCGCGGGGCGCCGTCCAGAGAGTCCACAGGTGCGAGAGAGAGCGGCGAGACGCAGCCCGCCCAGCGCTCCGTGTAAATCATTTCTGGAACTGGCTTTACTTTCCGAGCGCAAACAGACGCTGAATCAAACAAGCACTAAACGGAGTGGAGCAGGCAGGGCGCGCCGCTGCAGCCGCGGGGGTGGCGGAGGCAGGCCGGCGGGGCCGCGCTCAAGGACTTCCTGGAGGCCATCATCGAAATCGAAATCATCGAGATTGCTAATCATCGAAAATGCGTGTGCCACCGACAAGTGGCCTTCTCGTGGCGAAGCGGCGCAAAGCAACGCACAGCGCGGCCTGCTCATCACCAAATGGAACGGGACGCGTCCCCCCCGGGGAGTCGTTGTCGTCGCTCTGTCTCTCTCGCACCCACACGGGACGCCCCATGAGTGCGAGAGAGACAGAGCGACAGTCCGCTGCGCCGTATTTGAAAGCGCTACTCCTCTTTACACACAAAGGGATCACAATAGACGAGAGGCACGGCACAAGCCCCGTGCAAACACTACACAGGGCCCCTAACCCCGAAGCCAAAGCGGCAACCCGCACGGCAGCACACCGGGCCACGCCGGGCCGGGCCACGTCAGGCTCGTGAAACATTTACTCAGCATTGTCAACAAGGACACCCTAATGGCTATGCACCTCTCGCTCCCACCCCCACCCCCACCCCCGCCTCCGCCCGCGCGCACCACTGGAGAGTGATGCCATCCAAGCAGCGCTCCTCGCCGCGAAGCTAGACGCGAAGCTAGACGCGAAGCCCCGCGGGACGACTCGCGATCCACCAATCTAAGCAGCCGGCGCGGTGGATCAGTTGACCTGCCTCTCTGCAGGCCTGCCCATATTTCTACTCTGAAATATTAAATTCCCATTGTTTTCCCTTTTGGCTGACCTACCACTCAGTTGACCTTTCCCATAGAAATAGTAAATAGAAATAGAGAATGTAAAAATTTTAAATATGTGGACTTGACATGAACCTCGGAACTAGAGTCCCACATTTTTTAATCGCGCCAGTGAACCTATTCCAACCCGCGATCACTGTTTTGTTCATCAATCGAGCTCCCCAATTTTGTCCTTTTGTGCGCTTTTAATCACACTCAGCGCATACTAGTCCCGCGGTGAAAAATTTCCAGGACGAAGGGCCGGACTACGACGTATGCCCAAAACAAATCGGAACGCTTTGTATACCCGCGGAGTACGTGTGTGGAATGGAACGGGTGCTGCGGCCGCCGCGCTCCGCTTCGCCCTGACTTCGCAGTGCAGGAGAAATGAATGTGTTCCAATCAAGCGATTGCCACGCCCAGACTGCCCAGACGCACGACCGAAGAAGAACGCAACGCGGCTGGACTTTGGTTGGTGTCCAGCGCTCATCGGTCCAGTGCCTCCCCCCCCCCCCCCCTCTCCCCTCTCCCCCTCCCCCTTCCCCTCTCCCCCTCCCCTACCCCCTCCCCCTCCCCCTGAGCCTTGGAGGGCGATTCGGCCCGCGTAACTTGTTAACAATTTCCTGCATCAACGCTCGGAAACATCATCGCCCTACTACCGGGTGGGTCCGCGGAGCAGCGGCGAGGGGAGAGGGGAGCTCCATCGGGGAGCACAAGCCTTTGTCACTTGACACCCGAATGTCGTGTCGCGCCACTGCCATGTCCCCTGCCCCTCCCCGCGCCCTCCCCTCCCCGCTCCCGTCTAGAGCAGTGTCTGCTGATCGTGGTCGGTACAGTCGGGATCCGCATTGTTGCGTCAGGATGCACTGTTCGTCTCCTTGGCACTCTGCGCGGCGCCCCACGAGTGCGAGAGAGACGACAGCGGGGTGACGCGCGGTGCCAGTGGGCCGCGACCTACCCCCAGCCGTGCCGCGCCGCCGAGCCGACCCGGTCCAACAGTGTGTCCAACACCTGCGCGTCCGCAGCGTCCGCAGCGTCGCCCGATTGGCCGCATCGCCTTTGTGTCCAACTTCATTGCTCTTTTTCTCTCTCCTTCTCTCTTTCTTCCCCCTCGCCACTGGCGGTCTTTGTCACACTCCGTCGGGGCGCTGCTCCTCCCCGGGTCCTCGCAGGACGTCGCAGGACACGGAAACTTGAGCGCCAGAGGCGGGGAGCGTTCCTTCAGTCGGCCGCTTATGGTCTCTAGGAGGCCAGTTTGGTTTCTACGAGGAGGGGACTCGAAGATATCAAACTGGCCTCACAGAAACCAACCTGGCCTGGCAGAAATCAAAACCACCCTGCATAGAAGGTCTTTTTTCGTCAATCGGTGCCCACATCGCACCGCCCCACCCAGCCGCTGTCCTGCCCTCTATCGTACCCGAATGACCAATCAGACGCTGCACTGCTCTCCCATTATTCTATACCATTCTTTCCTAACCCACCGCCGATCCCACTCGAGGATAGAATGGGATGCTGTTTTCCGCCAAGACAGCCAAGACAGCGGGGCGGGGCGGGGCGGGGCGGGGCGGGGCGGGCGGGCGGGGCGGGGGGCGGGGCGGGGCGGGGCGGGGCGGGCGACCACACCCCCTTACGTGCCTTTTGCAGGGCAATGCAGGGCCGCCTCGAGACGCATCGCTTTACGCAACATTGACTCCGTCGCTTGTTCTCCGGCCACTACAACACCCTCCTGCTGCAGCCCGGCAAGCTGGCCCGCCAGCCCCGCCTGCACCGCACCGCGACGCTACTACTGTGCCAACATTTTGATCTGGATCCCGCGGCAACGCCTGAGTCGCCTGAGTCGACGCCTGCCGCGAACTTCTCGCGCCTGCCGCCAACTTCTCGCGCCGCGAACTCTTCGCACGGCATGCATATCGTTCCTTGCGCGCAACCTCTATTTTTTCGTCATTTTTGTTTTGTTTTTGCTGTTGCCGTGACACTTGGTCTAATCAAGCCGTTTGTACCGCCTCGGCGATACAGCGATAAGCGTGTACGAACAAGCCAGCGGAGCGGCGCGGATCCGCGGAGGCAAAGGAAGGGACACCGCGATTGAATCGTGGAGGCCCGGCGTGGCACTGCGTGGACAGTGGACGCCGACACCGTGCACGCGGGGTAGAGTGCCGCGGAGGAGGCCGCCGTCGATTCCGGTCCTAGGGGGTCCGCGAGCGAGGGACCCGAGGACCCGTCGGCTCGCCGGGCCCGACATCGTATTAGCCGACATCCTATACGACAATCTGATATCATTAGCACGGCGCCGGGATGGCTCCGAAACGCGTTTTCCGCCGTTGTCGTCTCTCTCGCACCCGTACGGCCTTACGGAACGCCCCGTGAGAGCGAGAGAGAGGGCTGCCTGCAGGGCGGTCGGCGCGCCGCTCGACGCGTTGCAAAGCGCCTTCCCCGCTGCCGCCGGAGCGCCGCGGTCAGGACTGTTGTGCGAGGGAAGTGCCTGCAGAAAGGGGCAGGCGAGAGAGAGACAGAGAGACGAAAAAGCGTTTCGGAACCTGACACGAGCTGATGGAATCGTCACGCGGCTCTTTCCGCGCGCCAGGTTGCCTGCGGCAGCAGAGAGAGAGAGAGAGAGAGAGAGAGAGAGAGAGAGAGAGAGAGAGAGAGAGAGAGAGAGAGAGAGAGAGAGAGAGAGAGAGAGAGGAGAGAGAGTTACCGGGAGGGGGGGAGCCCTGGTCGTAAAGGCCGAGACGGAGTGCAGCGGCAGCGCGGCGGCGCGGCGGAGCGGCGGCCCGGAGGTGCGTCCAGCATGTTGAATCCGAACAGCGCCCGCTCCGTCTCTCTCTCTCTCTCGCGCTGGGGGCGTTCGGCAGGGGTGCGAGAGAGACGGAGTGCGCAGTTCGAGCTGCAGGTGCGCCCAGGTGCGCCGTGGGAAGGGCGGCGGTGCACTGTACCCTGCGCGATCGTCGTAGGCCGTCTCTAGATTGGCTCCAGACCGATTCGCGATGACCGCCACACTGCGTCCTAATCGCCTCCAGAGCGTCTCCAAATGAGCCTAAGGCTGTCTCCAGTTCGCCTCGACCGTCACCAGCACGGCACGGCTCCACACGTGTGTGCACACCGCCTCCAAATGGCGTGCAGATCGGTTTCGCATATCGCCCCGGTGCGGGGCCTTCGACCGCTCTCGCCGGTCTCGCACCCCAACCTGGCCGTCTCCAAGATCGTCTCCTGATTCCAGGTTCGCACCGTCGCATGCCGGCCCGCCCCGCCCCGGCCCGCAGCATTGTCTCGACAAAACGGAATGTTGCTCGGCTGCACCCTTTAAATTATTCCGGAAAAACAAATACGCGGCCAGAGACACACATATCGCGTGCAGCGGGTAGGGGCGGGGAGGGAAGGCCGGACGGAGGGCAGGCAGGTAGAAGGTGTGGACGGCGGGAAGGGGGAAGGAGGAGGCGGACCGCGCGCCGCGCCGCGCCGAGGCGAGCAGGCGAGGGCGAGGAGGCAGAGGGGTTGGCGGCGTGCCGGCCCTTCTCTTCCCCTCCCGACGCTCCCGACGCCGCGCTCCTCGCTCCTCTCCAGCAGGCTGCCCAGCCCAGCGCGCGGCGCGGCGCGGCAGAGTCAGTCAGTCAGTCGCTGCCGAACCTCTGGCGTGGTCGCTGTGAATCGAACTGGTACCGCCGGCCGCCACCAGGTGGCGCACACGACGCGATCGGGAGACTTCGCTCCGCTTCGCGCGGCCCGCTTCCAGTGTAGTGCCTACCCAGTGGATACCCATCGGATACAGTGTGTGTGTGTGTGTGTGGCTTGTGTGAGTGTGTGTCCAGTGCAGGGCGTGAACATGAAGAAGGTGCCCTGGTGCGCCACGGCGGCCGCAGCACCTTAGAGCAGCGCGACGACGGCCGCCAGCATGTCGGGCACCGCGACGTCGGCGACGTCGGCCGCGGCGGCGGCTAGCGTCGCCCTGGTGCTGCTGCAGGCGGTGCTGCTGCTGCCCCAGCCCGCCCTCGCCGTGGTCGGCAACGTGACCAAGGAGGGCGCGCGGCCGCTGGACAGGGCGCTGGAGCGGCCCCTGGAGCGACCGGAGCACCGCGACCGCGAGCGCCACGAGCGGCCGGCCTACAACCACGGCCACAGCTGGATGTGAGTACAGAGAGAGGGCGGGGAAGTCCACCGCGGCGTCCCACAGTGGGCCAGAAGACCGGTGGAGGCGGCCAAAACCCTAGACGCGTTTGGAGCTCCAGAGTCGCTAAACAGGCCTCGAAACGAACATGTGACCCCACCAATGGGTTCCTCGTCGGGAGAGCAATCCATTGGTGGGGTCACACGTTCGGCTCGAGTCCCATTCAGCGACTCTGGAGCTCCAAACGCGTTTAGAGTTTTGGCCGCCTCCACCGGTCTTCTGGCCCACTGTGCGTCCGCGGCGTCCACGGACGGCGACGTCGTCGGGCCGCTGGGCCCCGAGCATGACGAATACGCCGGATTCTTTTTCCTCCCCCTGGAGAGTCGCTTTGCCATTATTGTCATCTCGTTATTTCTCGCGCCGCCGCGTCTCGCCTCTGCGTTACTCTAGCGTGCCCGTGTGTGTGTGTGTGTGTGTGTGTGTGTGTGTGTGTGTGTGTGTGTGTGTGTGCGTGTAGGTGTGTGTGTGTGTGTGTGATTGTGTGCGTGCTCCCCTCGCACTTGTGCCCGTAGTGCCGTGACCTCTCCGCCGCTCCGTGGCGTGTGAGATCGCGGACAGGGCACGGCACCGCAATGCGTGGCGACAACCACAATAAATCACTAGCGCGGCGTCCTCGCAACCCCAGGCCCTTCTTGAGGGGCCGCAAGAGGGGCGCCCCGCCGCCCGCGCCCCGGTGGTGGTAGTGCACCGCGCAGTGTTCGTTTCTCTCGTCTACTTATTTTAATAATCCGAACCGAAAGAGAAAAAGAGGACTGCGTTGCCTTTGTGTCGGGCTCGGCGGGCAAGGGGTAGGCCTTCTCGGCCTTCTCGGCCTTCTCCTCCAACAGCGCAGGCGGCGCAGGCGGCCCCGCTCCAAGACGCGCCGCCGCGTCGCGTTAGCCACGCCTCGCGGCGCAGCACGGCGCGGCGCGCTACGTTTGTTGTTACGCCCCTCTGTGGCGCGCTCATCGTAATCGCCACGTACAAAGTCAGCGTCTGTCTGTCTGTCTGTCTGTCTGTCTGTCTGTCTGTCTGTCTGTCTGTCTGTCTGTCTGCCTATCTGTCCGCCTGTCCGTAATGATGGCCGACTGTCCAGGCCAGCGAGGGTGGCAGTGCCGTGCCAGGAGGCAGAACACATTTAATTGGACGTTCTTTCCTCCTCACGGCCGACTAGACCGCGGTGCTTCGCCGCGCTCATTAGCAAAAGGGCTTTGAGTGGCTTACAGTGGCGCAGAGCGGAGCCCTTATTCCATTGACGGCCACCCTCCAGCGGCGGACTGATTCCGCGCGCTCAGCGCTTTCGTCGCGCCGTCGCTCCGTCTCTCTCGCACTCGCGGGGCGCGCCGTAGGGCCGTAGGGGTGCGAGGGAGACGGAGCGAGTGTTTGCAGTGCAGGCCGCGAGGACGCGCGGCGATGAGGAGCGAGCGGATCGCCGTCGCCGCGCTTTGAGGCCCGCCGCGCCGCCGCCCTCCACCTGTCGCTCCGTCTCTCTCGCACTCACGGGCCGCGCCCCACAGTGCCCGCACAGTGCCCGCGGGCCGCAGGGGTGCGAGAGAGACGGAGCCTGAATGGCTGGCCGTGCCGCGGCTTTGCGCGCTTTGCGTGTGCTGCACTTGCCAGGCTTATGCCTCCGTAACGCTCCGTCATGTCCTTTGCCGGCTTGGCGGCTTCGCAGTGTGCCGGCTGGGCTCGGCTCACGTCGTGTTCCGCTTTGGCCGCAGAGAGTCTGAGAGGCATTGAAATAAAGCCGCCCGATCGTGCGGGGAAACAGTTTGGCGAGACGACGCCGGACTGCAGGACGTCCTCCGCGGCTCCGCGGGCTGTCCTGACCTTTCCCGTCCTCCACCTCGACGAGTCGCTCTGTCTCCCTCGCACCCCTACGGGACGCCCCATGAGTGTCATGACAGAGCGGCCAGGGGGAGAAATGCACTCGGGGAGCGTATCTCCGGTGGGTTGCTCGTGTCACATACCACACTGTTATGGCCGCTGACCACCACACCTAGTGGACGCCGCGACACAAGGAGCTGCTTCCGAGAAAAAGGGCCCCGTGGCCGGACCAAGGGCCCACCAAGGGTCCCTCCTGCAGCACGGCGCGCAGGGCCGCGCGTAGGACCGCCTGGGACCGCGTAGGTAGTCCAAACAAACAGCACCGTGTTTGGCCAGCGTTACGACTGTAGGAACGGTTTCCCCTCAAATTAACGCCCTGTTCGTCTCGCTGGACTGACTGACTGGCTGGCTGACTTGCTGACTGCTGCCCGCGCCCTCTGTTTGCATTGTGGTGGCTGCCGGCCGTTCGGCCAGGGAGTGCTTAGCGTTAGGGAATTGAACTTAAGTCAATCCTAGAGACGCAGTTCGGATTTTTAGCAGTGGACCCTCCCCTAGCGTTTTGACGTGGCGTCTCGCATCCCGGCGAAAATTGGCCGTTTTGAGGCCTTCGCCGTCGGCACACAATCACTGCCGCGTCCGCCCCAACGAGTGCCTCCCCGAGGACCGGACGGGGACCGGAGGACCCGAGGGACCGGGGCAGGTCCCTGGGGGCAGGTCCCTGGGGGCAGGTCCCTGGGGGCAGGTCCCTGGGGGCGGGGCGGAGGCTGCCCGGGGGCGGGGCGCGGGGCGTTTAAATCACCCGGCGGCGCCTCGCTGCTGGCGCTTGTCTGCTGTTGTGTTGTTGTCTCGGAGAAAGCAAAGGATGTTTGGACTGAACGGAAACGAGCCTTCGAAGCGTCCTCGCCGGCTGCCGACTGCTTAACCGCAATTAAGGGGAGAATCAAGGGAAGGCCGTCCGGGCCGTCGGGGTGTTGGGACGTCCGAACCACGCCGTCAGCAGCGACGCCTCCGTGAGTGCGAGAGGGAAGCTGGGCGTTGAGTGTGCCGCGGGGTAGGCCGTGATATGATCGGCTTCTCGCATGACGCCGTGGCCGCCGTGGCGCGCGGACTGGTTTGATGCAGGACACTTTCCAGGCTCGGCAGCCTCGCAAAAACAGTTGTCGCGAAAGTCATACCGCCGTGGGCCGCGGGAGAGAGAGAGAGAGAGAGAGAGAGAGAGAGAGAGAGAGAGAGAGAGAGAGAGAGAGAGAGAGAGAGAGAGACATTCTGCCGCGGTGTGGCGAACGAGTTTGCTGCGAGGGTTTGACGCGGCCAGCGCCGTGCTGACAGCGGCGGGAAGGGTGCCCCGCCCCCGCACTCGTCCGTTTGAGGCACCCAGTTCCCAGGGCCTTTTCCTGCCGCGTCCACCAGCCGGCCGGCCAGCCTCTCGACGCAAGTGATTGAAACAGATCTACTACTATATCCCCCCCCCCTTTCCCCGCGGGGAATATCCGCGGGAACAGGTGGAGTGGGCTAGCGGGCTGGCGGGCCGCGGCCGGGCGGAGTGGCTGAACGGCCGCCTCTCTGTTTATGAGGTGATGAAAGCAATCAGAACGCCGTCCGCCGGCCGGCCGGCCAGCCAGCGGGCCGAGTGGTGGTGTTCAGATCACGGATAGCGCCCAGCCAGCCAGCCAGCCAGCCAGCCAGCCCCAGCCAGCCAGCCAGCACAGAACGCCAGCCAGCCAGCCAGCCAGCCAGCCAGCCAGCCACAGCCAGCCAGCCAGCCCAGCCAGCCAGCCAGCCAGCCAGCCCCGCCGCGCGCGTCAAATGTTGTTTGGATGGCGGCCCATCTCTACATACCACCACCACCACCTTATTTTGCGGAGCGATGCCGCGCGTCCTCTCCCTCTGTCTCTCTCGCGCCCTCACGGGGACGCCCCGCGAGTGCGAGAGAGACGTCCGCCAAATGAGGCGGTGGCGGTGCCGTTGCGATAATCCGCCGATTTATCGCCGGATTAACGCATTGTCTGGCGGTCGTCCGGGACGCCGGGACTCCAACTCCACTTCGACTTCGGTCGCCTCGTCGTCAAGGACGTTGGCCCGCCGCTGTATGCGACCGCCGCCCCGCAGAGGCTCCGACACAAATTTCCAACCAAATATACGGAAGATGCGAGTGCGGATTTGTGTGTGTGTGTGTGTGTGTGTGTGTCAACTGCGCTGGATATCCCTTGACCATAACCGTGGAACAAGTCATAGCGCCGTCGCAAGGGCGCTTCAAAATAACGGAGGTGTGCGTAATTTCGCGTAAATTACGGCCGCACCGTGTCGCGTCGCGGGGCGGGAACTTGCTCTTTTCTTTCTCTCTCCCCGCAGCGGCTGCACTGCGAGCGGGGTACTTGGCAAACGCAGTGCGCTGCGGGGCGTAACTGCTGTACGCGCCGGCCGGCCTGGACGCCTGGAGGCCGCTCCGTCCGCTCGGTCCGCCACCGCCACGGCGTTGCCGGCCGAGCCACGGCCGCGAGCAGCCACGCCTCCTACCGGGACTGTGACGAGAGGAGGCGCACGGCGGAGAAGGAGAGTGGTTTATTGCATCCCTCCGTGGGATGAAAGCAGCCATTAAGCGACGTGAAATTTGAGGAGCACTAAAGGCAAAATTATGTCCGCCTAGCGGCCATCACTCTAATGGACAGGTCCTTGTGGTGCAGCCTCGCGGCCTGCACCGCGCCGTCTCTCTCGCTCTCGCGGGACGGACTTGCGCGCGAAATGACGTAATTTGATTGGCTCTCTGTCCCTTCCCTCTGGTGGGCGGCGCGGCTTCTTGCGAGGCGTGTGCTGCGTGTGCAGTCGGAGCGGTCGGCCAGTCGGCGCAGGGAATTACCTTTTTGCTCATTTAGTTTATTCTGAACACGTCGGTGGGGCCGCCGCACCGCGCGCACCGCGAACCGTGTAACGCGGCGAACGCAGCGAACGCACCGCAAGCAGGTACCCGTGTAGTACCCGCCCTGCGTGCACGGACATGCACAGCAAGGGCGGCAGCAACAACAACAACATAACCTCAAACACAGCCTCAGAAAGGTGACGGTGAGGTTATACAGTCGCCATCACCGCATCACCTCTCTTCAACAGCTTACGACAACCCAACCCCCGTTCTGTCGCTGCCTTTTGCGACCGTTTC